GTCTCTTCTGTATATCCCGTCCTGTCTCTGTTTACAGCCTGTCTCGAACAGAATGGAGTGCTGCCATCACCACACGCTCTGGAGAGGAGGAGAGAGTTCCTGAGGGTGTGTGTTTGATAAACAATTCAGCAAAAATAATTAGCTGATAAGACACGCGCTGCGATTCGCTGTTGGGTCCAAACTCACTGGATCACCCCTAACCCCAGCCTCAGTCACTCGCCTGACATTACCATATGCTGAATTTTTAATACATTAAGAACCTAAGGAAGCGTGATGATATGCAGATTTATTCTATGAGGAGAGTGCAGGGGGGTGTCTGGTGCGTTGGGGAGGACAGTGCACCTGCATTAGCATATCTCTCAGTGTTGGCATGGTAGAACCTAGCTTTTGGCAGTGCGTACTTTTCTTGGTGCAGTCACAGGATCTTGCAGACATTGAAGTACTGAGGCAGCAGGTCGCTTCCAGCTGCAGTCTAATTTGCTGTCTGCCTCACACTGAGGTGGAGTTTTGCTTCACTGTGTTGAGTACAGGCTGTGCCAGGAAAGCTGGATGGGCTCTGGAACTGTTCTGTGTGTGAGGGGCTCAGCTGGCTGTGTTAGCAGATAAGAGAGTGGTGTAGAGGGAGTTTGCTAGTTTGCATCTTTTTCACGCTTTTGCACTCACTCCTGCTTCTTTCCGAGGCCTTAAAGAGTTGACCTGCATTATGACATCCAAACGAAATAATTGGGTGGTTAACAGGATGGATATGAGTAAACATCTTCAAACGTTTGTTAAAAACTAGAGCGTTGGCAGTGGTGTCAGAAATCAGCTTTCACATTTTTAGTAGAGAACGTCTAATCTAACTAGGCAGTTTAGAACTGCATGGCCATCTCCCAGATAGCTTCATTCTATTGCATCTTCATTGCCATATACTAATGCTTTTATGAGCTGTATAGTATTCATAAAGGCAACCTGTTTCTGTCTCCATGCATGAATGAAGCCTGTCTAGCCATGATTTTCCAGCCATTATCATCAGAGAATCTTTTCCCACTGAGTGTTTTAAGCTAATGTAGTAAGTGCAGTGCATGCTCTAATGTAAGCTCTGTGCCACAGCCACAGGCTGCCTCTCATTGCATCGTAATGTTTCATTTAGCTGACATCTGTCTAATACGCTGAAGCAAATAGCAAATTTGCAGTCTAACTCTAGCTCTGTCTTCTTTGCGTGTGCTGCATTCCACCAAGAGTTTGTTGAAATGGACTCCGTTAGCTTTGGACATCTGTCAGTAATTTTTTTTTTTCAGTCCAGTGTAATTTAATGATGGCTCCCATCTTTTCTGGCCCCGAATTGAAGCCAGTGGCATAGCTCTGACTCTGCCAATTACAGGTCAGCTTGTGTATTGTTTGGTTTTACCCCTGTGTTAATCTCCATGGCAGTATGTTACTCAATCCTCTTTTCTCTTTCAAAAAGGGAAAGTCTGAAGGAAGTGGATAATGTTATAACAATGCACAAATGCCTCTTTCATTATTCTTTTTTATTGGAAAAAAAACTAATAAAAACAAAATGAGGATTAAAGTTGCCTTTTGGTATGTGAGGGTACAGTCATCTGTTTTAGCATAAAGCTGCCCACATACAGCCAATTAGATCTGTATTTTTAGGTGATTAGTAGTCTTTAGTCAAGGGAGAAAAGACATGAATGAAATGTACAAGAAAAAAATTGAGACAGTTGACTTCCCCTGTCAAGATCTAACAACTCCATTCATTTTCATAAAGCTGCAACTCCTAAATGTTGTAAACTTCACTGAGCTCAGACAAAACCACCCATTCTTATCCTCTCAGAGCAGAAAGAAGATTAATTTCCCACTTGAAAGATTAGGAGAATACCTCGAGGGTAGCGACTCATGCTACTGTCTGCCTACTGAGACTGTGGCCGAAGCCGTTAACGCCTTCCTGCTTTATACGGCAACTTGCAGACCACAGCGTTTCCTGCGTGGTCTGATTCTTCCTTGGAGACGTGGCCTCTTGATTGCCTTTAATAGATAACAATGCTGTGCTGCTTTTTGTGACTAACAACACAGTTTCTTTTAAACTGGTTTTGGGGGCAACACCACATTGACCCCAAATGGAATTTATCAGTACTTTTTTCTGGATCAGGATGTTTTATTGTTAACTATCTGGTAAATCGCTCAAGTGCACTGTGCTGATAACTTTCTCTCTTGGGTGACGCCCTCCTAATCTTTTTCCCTTGTGACCCACTACTTCTCATGCTTTGGCATTGACCCAAACTTTGGGCTAGTCAAACATTTAACTAAAAACCTCAAGGAGACATTGACATCTATGTTGCTATAATGCATTTACATGTTGCTGAATTAAAAGTATACTAAGGCAGAGGATGGAAACACTTGTATTGCAAGACTCTGACAGCCACAGCAAATCGTTCCATAAATGTTCCCATGCAAATACAAAAAGGAGTTTTTCGAAGTGAGTGCCCAGCACAAGGCCTTGCTCCATTTTACAATGTCACAAGATCCCTGTGGGGGACTCTTGTTTACTGGCAGAAATGCAGCAGTAAAGACTGCAGCATTACTCTTTTCTTTCCACAACCCTGAGTCTCCCTGGGTACTGCGCTGCCTCCATGGCCCCCAAACATTTTTCTGCTGTGTACAAGAGGAAATGTTCTTTGCCCCTCAGATCATTTCACCATCCCTTTAAAGGTGACTTTCCTGTTAGTGACCAACATAAGCAATATACTTTAAGTATATAAGCATAAAAAGTCGGGAGAGATATGACCCTGACTGTGTTCATGTATGCGTCGGTGCACTGGCTTTGTTCCCGCTCTGCCAGTAAGGTCTAATGTGACTGAGCTGTTCTCAGTGTGTCTAATCCTACAGGACAGTTTTTGGCTGACTGAGGAGGGAAATGAGTTCAAGGAGAAGTGCGGAATGCTGACACCCCTCTCTGCTCCCAGACACCTATTCTTGAAGTAGTCCGTCAGAGCAGGTCATTCCCATGGGCCTCTTTGAAGAAATTGCAAGAAGTCTACACCCTGATTAGGGCAGTAACCAGAGAGGCCAAAGCCATGCCTCTGACAACTACCTCAAAAAAAGAAAGTCACAGACATTCTCCATATCACTTCTTTGTAGCTAACCACAGTTCACCTTCCTCGCCTCCCTGTGTTTGTGCTGGTCTTGTTTTTATGACCAAGTCAATGAACCGTTGCCTCCACAGTACTGCCACTGTTAACACAGCTGAGGCACATTAGGCCAGTGTTGTTCTAGCTCTTTACTTGGCTCCAGGCTTGGTCTTGTAGCCCCAGTACTTTACTTCCTCTTCATTGCAGTGGTGGACCCCATGCGAGAGCCCAAGTGGCACCTCTTAAAAGCCACAATGCACTTAATTGTCCATGATGTTGACGTTCTTCCTGGAGTTTTGACAGTTGATGAATGCTGGTGATTTGACAATGTACTGTCAGATCCACTACACATCAGCTTGGTTGATTAATCTGAAGTGACTGAGCTGGAAACCAGAAAAAACACACCAATATTCACCCATCAGTCAGTGCTGAAACAGCTGCTGGTGTTACGCTAGGTGAGCCAAACAGCAGTAAAGGCTTTTAATGGTGTGATGGAAGATATTTGGAAGCTTGGTGCCAGGGATGATCCAGATATTAATGCTTAGGCTTAGCCTGAAGTCTAGCTAATAAAAGCTTACCATAAGCTCTCTAACTTCACTCTCCGTACACTCCTGCTGTCAGGACATTTTCAGTAATTAAGAAAGGTACTTGAGAGTCTGGTGGCACACCATCTTACATACTTTACCCTCTTACGTGATTTCTCTCTCAGGTTCTTAACACGTCCAAGAATGTCAGCTGAACCCATGAGCACTCTTGGGTGTCCACTAGACATTCTAGCAGAAAAAGTGAAGAGACCGAAGCTAGCACCTCTCATCGACCCCTAAGAAGTTAGAAGAGCTTTCTGGTGATGCTTAACTGCCTGGAGCTGTCTCTCTGGCCAGAGCCGCACTGTAATTCTAGATCTTCGTTGTCACGCTCCATATCACCTAGGTGACCTCCTGCCCAATTATACAGCTGACCTGGGTTTGATGACATAACCTCTTCAGATTGGGCTGCGCTTGCCCCATGGGGCGACCTGTTGCCTGTCAGACCATGTCAGCTTCGCATGCTAAGCAGACACTTCCCAGAGCAGTCCCAGTGGGCTCAGAACTCCTGAGAGGCACCAGGCAAACCTTTCATTTCCCTCAGACTTTTTCTTTCACTCTCTTTGGCTACTATCAACTGCCAGTGTCAGGTGATAAAGCCACACTATGATTTTAAAAGCATTTTGCATCAGTTTTAAAGGTTCTTGAAGGCAATGTCTTTTTGATGCCTCAGTAGTTCAGGCCATTTTCCCCCATCATGCCACATTCTACTGAATGATAGCATAAACAAAGCCATTAGAGCTTTATGACATGGTTTTCCAGTTTGGTGACTGTTAGCTGACAGTCAGTTGGAATCTTTGTAAAAAATCAAGAAAGAAAGACGTTTTACTCTAAAGTTGCAAACTTTGGTTGTTAAAAAGTGACAAAGTGACAGTAATTTAAAGATATAAAATAATTGTAACTCATCAAAATGTTGCTTTAATTATTCACTGATTCGAAAGATATTCATCCTCTTTTGATTCTAACCTTGAACTTGAATGTAACTCTTGTTCGTAATCTTACTTCTGTATCAGAAATTGGAGAGAGCTTGATGCAAGAGAGGTGCTGATACAATCTGCTGCAGAGCTTGCTTGTTGCGGGCTACTGTGGTTAGTCAACGGTCATGTGATTAAGAAACATTGAGCTTTACCACTAATTTGCCAAAAAGTAATTTTAGTCATTTTAAGAAGACACAAGCCACAGTCACAGAACACAAAATCTGAGCTTGACTTGGAAGTTCTGTGAAGTTAGGCCTGTAAAATGTGATATTGCATAGAAAAGTGTGTACATTGTAGAAGCGGTGGTTATAAAAAGCACAAATTCACACTTGTTTCTTAAAATAAGATTTTTAATATTACTTATTATCATAAAGATATATTTACACACTTTACAGAAATAGAAAATAAAAACACAAAGCTACGCATGAAAGGAAAAAATAAAATAAGTACTCCAAGAGCTAAAGCTTATCTTTTATAAATTAGAAACCAAAAGTTCAAATATGTACACAGTATTTCAACCATTTCTGATACACTTGTTTTATTCATTTATTTATTCATTTATTTTTGCCCAGTTTAACATCAAAACAGAGACAGAGACTGTACATTTGGCCTGGTGAGTTCTATGAGCACACACCTCGAACAGGAAAGATGAGGATTAATACCTTGTCTTTACAGTGTTTTCTGCATGGCCTAATAATACTGTTGATAAGCCAAGTCTGGCTATGGACGATGCAGGTATCCTCTGACTATTCAAGACGAATTGGTGTGCCGAACAAACTGGCCATGTTTATGAAGGGATATGTTAGAATCACACAGAGCTCGCTCTAGTCTGGGTGTGAAGTCTCATTAGAAGCTATGGAATAATCAGATCATTCTCAGCCCCTCACCCATGGGATATCAAAATGTAGTTATCCTGTTGACTGCTCGGCTAGTGGCTATGTGCGAAGATGCGGGATTGGATTTCAGCTACTTGATCCTTCAGGTGATGCATTGTACATGCACAGTGACGGGCTTATCAAAAGCACGCAATCAAATGTGTTGCTTGTTTGTTGTATTCTTTTGCCTCTCTTGGTCGGGTGTCACACTGATGATGGTTAAAACTCAACAATGGCTAGGAGCGCAGGAAAAAAATGCGATCACAAAACCAATGCAAAAGAAAACGCCTGTCAAGGCAAGTGTTTTATGTACTGCCTACAGTCTCTCTATCCATTTGAAACCCAAGCCATTGAGACTGGAGCACCTACAGTTCACTTGCCACAACTCTCTTCTCATCATACAAACATGCACTCAATCGCGTTCCTCCCCACACTTGCAGTCCCAGGCGAACACGCATTTCTTTAGCGAATACAATCTGAGCCCAAACAGAACATCTCTGGGAACAAACCAGTGAATCGAGTGAAACATGCTTAGAAGTGCATAGGAACATTACTCAGACATTGTGATTCAACACTGGAACACACATGAGGAAATGGGGTAGGTTTTTCTTTTGAGTGAGCTTTGCTGGAAAGACAATTAAGGACATTTTGTTTGCTTTGTTGTTTTTCGCTATTGGTTTCCCATTTCTTTTTTCTTTTTTTTTTGAGTCTGGGCATATTCATTCTCTTCTTACCACAAACTTCATTAACCTGATGGGCTGATAGGGGACTGTGGACTGCACCAGGCAGAAGTAGAAGGTGTGAAAACTCTCATGTGTCCACGACATATTGTGTAGCAGACTAATTCTCTATACTTTTTATACGACCACACGCACACACAAATAAAATACAGCTTTCCACACTGTATTTAAAAGTAAGCTTTGGACAACCAGCTAGACAAGAATCAGTCAATAAAATTGTCACGATACACTGGAAAACCATTACATGCCAAGAGACGTGTTTTCAGGATTTATTTTTCCAGCAGCATAATGGAATTGCAAAAGTGCAGCCTTGCATGCCCATACAGAGAGGTGTTGGAGCAAAGCCAAGTGATTGATAGGGGTCTCTGCTATAACAGGCTTTGGACGACGACGTGTTTGTCTTTGGACGTGTGATCCAACAGATAGCCATCACTGATGGGTTGTGTTATGTAGCAGTGATGGGGGTGTTTTTTTTCTCTTTTTTTTTTTTCTTCTTTTTCTTTCAAGGCTTGAATTGTGCTGAAACACTGCTTTACTTCACTCCCTGAAGGGGCAGCTCAGCTGGTGCAGATGTTAAAGATACATTCATGAAGAACAGTGCAGATGCAGACGTTATTCTGCACCTTTGACAGGAGCTTCCCAGACAGAAAAATAGTGATTCTAACCCTGTCTCTTTGATCCCGTCGGCTGTATCTCAACAGACCCGGCCTCACGGATGGGGAAAGTAGCTCATCTCCTCTGGATTCTGCCCTGCTAATGCGTTAGACGCGCACTAGAGTTGTCTCATTTTGAAGGCGCTTTAATGAAATCTACATCTCTGTCTGAGAGGGTATTAAATAATAATGGTGAGACTGGAATTATTAGCATTCACAGTACCCTAAGATTTAATACATTTTTAATCAAGGTGAGCTTGGCTGGGTGTTTTACCACCATGGTTTTTAGGCACTCTCTTATTAAGAGTTGCTCTTGCTGCAAGACGTTGATGGTGGAGGATTTCTGTTCCAATTTCACAGAGAGAAATAGAAGATGGACAATAGGACTAGAGTACTGGTCAAAGAACACCAGCTTTGCTGACTGAATGATGGTCACAATTATGAATATGGCTAACAGTCTCATAAAAGCCTTGTGTCTCTGCATTACAATTGCTTAAAACTTAAAAAAAGTGGGGGAGTGGAGAAAAGAGAACAGACCTCTTCAAATAAGGACCAGGATGGAAATGCAACGATGGCCTGCTTTGCTTTTAGTTTATAGGGTGTTAAATAGTTAGGGTGAAATGTTGAACGTGAGGGTATGTGCGGTCACAATCTAAGCCAATTGGACAATGAGCTCAGACACTGAGGGCCTGTGGCTCCGGCTAACCTCCAGCGAGGCCCATCTGAAATAGATTAGCAGTAGGATTTAATGACCACAGCCATCAAAGCAATGGCCACCTGTGCTGAAGAGGCTCAGGCTAAAAGGCAACTGCTCCCAAAACAGGGAGAACGATAATGGCTTACAAAAACTGAATTTGAATACGTAGTAATAGTGGTGGATACATAAGCAGGGAGATATATATAAATATTTATATATAAAACATATATACGTTGTACTGAACTGTGCATGTAGGTTTGTGTTTGCATGTGTGTTTGCGTGTTTCTTAAATAAATGCACAAAATATAGACCATTCGGTACAGGCTTCTCTCACAGCACCCTGAGAAACATAACTGAAATATAACAAAAAACAAAATAAAAGACAAAATAAAAAGGTAATAAGTTCCAGTACGATGTAAATAAAAGGCATATTACTCTGTCAATCAAAAGGTATCTGTCCTAGGGGGCGATCCAGCCTTCATCTAAGCAGTCAGAGAAGAGAGCACTAGTGGTTGGTTCCAAAAACACACTATAACCTTGTCTGCTTTAAAAGATTTTTGGTCTGATTTCTTTAAACTATCCTCTTTGCTACCATTGTCTTTTACATTGGCTGTTCAAACAAATATGTTGAAATGCATACATATGTGTAGATGTTTCAAGACTCAAAATAAGAGGTAACATGTTTGCTGCCTTTTGTCTCTCCTGGCAGCATTGCAGAGTAGATTTACTATTTGGCACTTCATTAAGAGGAGAGGTGATCTGCCCTACTGGGCTCCCCGGCCAGTTAACAGTCGTGTATATCTGCTGTGGAGTGTTGTGGAGTGGGGGAGGAGGAAAGGGCTCAGGACAGACACATGGGTAGTAGAGTAGTGTGATCCAATAAGGAGACACTGTGGCTTAAACTTTAAGCACACTGCTCACAATCCCGGGTTGTCTATAGTGTAATGCATAATTGGCTTTGGACAGCTAAATCTTTAGAAGCAATAATGCTTAAAGCAGGTTGTGTAAGTACATAAATGATGAAATGCAACCCATCTGTATGTCATAGATTTCTGTTTTCTCGACTCCAGATAGACTTTTAATTCCAAGCAACACAATCCAGATGTACTTATATATAATCAGCAGTGGTAACCAAATAAAATTACATTGAAGTGGTCCTTAATCTATTTTCCTAGGACATTCTCCTTATATTTTGCAGTAGATATGCAAAAAAAGTCAAATGTAACAGTGTTACATTTGTAGCAAGTAGCTGACCTGGGATAGAAGAAGTGATGAAGATGTTTCAGATAAATGCCTTTGCCTTTAGATCCTTGCCATTTCCCTCCCTCATCACAATTGTCAACACCAGAAGTTTCCACAACACAGCAATGGGACAAAGGGGCAGTTTTCACCTTTACACAGAGAATGGGAATAATGTGCCTTGGAGAATGAACTGACGCTTTCAGGTGAAGGCTGTTTTTTGGACCAGGCTCCCCAGCGCTCACACATCATGCAAAGTGTGGCAATGAAAGGGCTCTAGAAAGCGAATGAGGAAAAACCACGGGAGGCGAGAGAGAGACAGACAGAGAGATAGAATCTGGTAGCTCGGGCTCGATATCCCCCCACCCCGTTCCCGGGCCACAATTCTTCATAGAGCTGAGGGTGAGTGTCCTGGTATTTTGTGGACAGAAGAAGAGTTGCTTGAAGAACCAGCAGGTGCTATGGACATCACTCTTCAGGCTGGGCTGGCGAAGGCCCCTTGTTGCAAGGCCCCCCAAGGCAAAGGAAGAGCATAGAAATCAGAACCAAGGGGGAGGGCGCTCTAAGCAGTGCCTGTAAGAGGAGAAGACAAAATAAGGTCAAGGGGTGGTGCTTACTATAAATATGTTTCCATTAAGTTACTGGATGTAAGTAATAAGCACCGACATGGGCACTGGAGGAAGATTTCCGGTGGCTTAATACATTTATCAGTGTGTTATCAGAAATTTTAGAGTACATTCCTGCCCATGGTAATCTTCAGGTCAACTCACTGTAGCATATTGTCTGAAATGCCATTCTCAATCTTCTGAATAAAAAATAATAACAAAGAAAAATAAAACAAATGAACACTAAAACAGTAACTATAAAAAAACCTCCAGAACAAGAAACAGCTATGAGCAGTACTTCATGCTTACCTTAATGATACACTTTGAGCGGTGAATCAGAGAAAAGCAATGAGGTAATCTTTTACATTTGTCCTCATTTTTATGTTGTGTCCGCATCTGATTATTCATAAAGATTTTAGATAGTAGAGGCTCTTAGCCGGCATTCTTCCAAAAAAAACGGTACCCACTGACTGATAAGAGGCATCTCCAGCATCTTTAGATATACCTAAGCATTTTTCTATCATTGCATAACCAGAGAACAGATTCAAATCTCAATGTTTTTGTTTGTGAATCGTCACTGAATCATGTTTGGTTTTGTTCTGTGACCTCACCTATGTGCTCTTGTTTTGTTTATCTGTCTAACCAACCAAAGAAAGCTATGTGTGGTTTGGATAGGAAAAAATGCCTTTCTAATCAGTTTTTTTTTTTTTTTTGCCCTATGGCACTATAAGCTGCCCAGACGCTCCCTCTGTTCTCTATGGCCTTCTGTTTTTTCAGAGCCTTTGAGGAAGACATTTCCTCTTCCTGAGCAGTCCCTCTGATGTGTTGTGGCATCTGGATCTCATAAAGCACAAGTAGTTGATGCTCATGCTGCTAAGATTTCATTATCACAACCCTCAAGTCCTATAATGTCAACTGAGGTTCTAACCTCTTGTTCTCTGCCCCTCAGAGAACGAATGTATGAAGAAGGCTGCAGACGAGACAACGCTGTTAAGGTTAGCTGGTGGGCCAAAGGGAGACTGTCAAGAAGTGTACGTCTCCTTGCTACTCACTCTCAGTGTAATACAAAGAAAGAGCCATTTATCATTGGCTCTGAAAAAACTGAACTTCAGACCATCCCCCATTTGGTAAGAACAATAACTTTCTCCAGCTGTTTCAAAAGACATACTCCTCATCAGCAGCCACAGCGAAAGAAATGAGCAAACATTAAGAGAAAAAAGCCTTTCAAGTTGAAATGCCTCCAGTGTGGCCTTGTTCTGCCGTTCCCTGGCTGTTATCAGGCCTTAAGGAGAGTTAATTCTCCTGGTCAGACTGCACCCAGCTTTAGGCATAGTTGATGAAGTGCGAGGCTATATTTTTCACCCAGTGGAAAACGTGACATGTTGTACATTAGCCAGGTGCAGGTCAGAAGCTCAGAGCAGGCCAATCTCAGGTGGGCCACAGACTGATTTGCTGCATGTTTCTTTTTATTCCCTGGTGAAATGCATGGAGGGAATTATTAGTTCGTCGACATCATACTGCTTCATAGGCGGAGTGACAAACTGCAAATGGATTTCATTAGAGTCGCATGCGAATTCAATTGAACACTGAATGTTGTGGTCTATGAATTTGGCCATTGCCCCTGTGGTGCCAGCCAATGGCGGCTTGATTGGCATGCTAGTCAAGCGAAATGAGCTGGCTCAGCCAACTATGTCTGTTGGGATGTGGTTGAAAAAGCTGAATGAGGTGAACTCTGAACCCTAGGAAGGCATGAGAGGAGCCGAAGAAGAGACTGAATGAAAAAGAAGTCTTTGTCTTGTTTGGGGTTGAAGTGCTGTTATTGGAGTCCACATTGGGACTCACTCAGCCGTTCCCTTTAATAGAGCTACACAACTTCCTGCAGATTCACTCATTGTACCACAAGCAGTCTCGGCTTCAAAACAAGCACTGGCTGCCCAGCTTACCAAGAGAATGCGTCACTTTTTATTGACCAAGCAGGGCATTAAACTCTCCGAGGTCTGTGTTGTCCTATGAGCACAGGCTGCCATGCCATGACCTTGCTCTTTGTGTTCACCTTTGTGGCGTCACCACTGCATTTTCCCTTAGATTGTCAGAGAGAGTGAATAGAGAGTGACTAGATTCCCAGACAAAATCTGGCCATAACAATAACAAACCTATAATTTGCCATAGATTGTAAAACTGTGAAAGATATGGGGGGCCGGGCTTCTGATCTTTTACTGCTTTCATGTCCCTGTCTTTAAGAGGGATTAACAATGCCATAAAGGGTTGACGTGTCTGCATCTGCCCCAAAAGATCAGTCCCATATGAGGTTAATTTATGGTGAGACTCCGTAGGCTGTAGGTTATGTATTTGAAACCTCCTGCAGGGTTATTATACCCAACAGTGCTTGCCTGTCCTGTAGACTATGCGTGTGAAAATTCTGAATGGACTCCTTGCATAATCCATACATCTTTCATTTAAAACCTTTAAAATCATTCAGTGCATTCCCAGCACTAAACTATATTTCATTCACCGTGCAGCACTATTTCCTTTTCTCTGAAAGTGACATGCAGTTATTTTGCTGCATTGGTATTTTCTTGTATTGGTAAGACATTGACATCCTGTGTTTTCCTAGCTTTAAAGATGAAAGAAGAGTCACATGAAGTCTTGTTTATCCAGACATCAAATAAAATATTCTTTCATGTGAAAAATAAGTCCAAGTAGTACAGATGAGAAAAAGACCTCCAGTAAGTGTTGTGTTTGGTTAATGGATTTAATTGCCATTATCAGAATAAAGGAAAACATTTACATGGATCAAGTTGACTTTGGTAGGTAATATTTGTTTGTCTTACACTGCCTCTTCGACTGCTGGCCATGTATTAGGTTTGGGCTGGATATACTGTGGAGCTACTGAATGTGAATGGACCGGCAAAAGCCAACAGTCGAAAGTCCAGTAATCTTATAAAGATGCTATTTTTTCCTGAGTAGACAATAACCTCCAATTCATGGAAAGTGACAGAAAAGGGGGGCATGTCAGTTACAGTTTCCCTCTCCTCATGTTACACATAAGCTTCCCCAAACTGCCTAAGCGTGAAGCGGTAGCATATGGAGAAAGTAAAAGGTATTTTGTGCTTCCACTGCTCTCAAAGAGAAACCCTCCATTTCGAAATGAAAATCAAAGTAATGGATTTGCTCTTTTTTCCCAGAGAAATAAAGCATTTTGTTAGTAGTTATGTGCCCTCAGGTGCAATTGCCATTTCTTTTTTATCAAAGAGCATGTGATCAAAGAAGAATGTCAGGACTTCACTATTTACTTCGCAGATTACTTTTATAATCTGTCTGATCTTTCTAAAACACTTCCTTTTTTTTGCTTTTTTTGGTTTCACATCAGCAATATTCATGACACTTAAAGTAGCAGCATGTTTGCGATGTCTTGTGCATTGTGGGAGTTTTAATTTTTGGACTGACCTTGCTCTAAAATGGCATGGGCCCCTTGTGGGACAGGCGAGGCCGCGGGCGTCTCCTCCTCCAGCCGGAGGGTCTTTGGCTCCGACCAGCTCTGGCAGGGTTCTGCCGGACAGGAGTCCTCATGCTGCCCACCTCCTCCAGCTCCTTGCTATGCTCGGTGGAGGCCATTGGACCTATAAGAAGAGAAAGTCAGTTTGGATTGAAATACTCACAATATGTATGTAAATAAAAACAGGCAACGTTACTTTAGTTAATACCATAAACATAAACAAGGCTAACCTATTCTGGATGATAAACCACCATCAGAGATGCCACATCTGCTACCTTGGTGCTCTTAGTTAGTGAAAAGTTAAACTCTGTTATACTGAAATTCTAGCTCAACTGCAAGGCACATTGTGTGGAAAGTAGACTCGGACTTGTACATACATTTCAGTCATGTGCTGCAGAATGTTTGCTCAGTAGAACAAAAAAAAAAGCAATGCAAAGATGAGCGATTATGTTGTCTCTTATCATCTGACTCTTAATAACTAGTCAGAGTTTCCAGGTGAGAGTATTGTACCACAAAACTGAAATTTTCTTTTGGTGAATCAAATAACTACAAAGGCTTAATATACTGCTGTGAGATTTATTTTATGACACTCACCAAGTAGATTCACTCAGCTCAATTCCATGAAATGGTTAAGTACCACTTCCAAATAGCTTTGGTCACTTTAAAACATCACTACACTCACATTTTTTGAACTTCTCGTAGCATCAAATGTTGTACTCAGAAAACACTGATGATCAGTGATTAATATGTCTGTGCAAATGTAAACTTAAATATACCCAGATGTTTTGAGTCATCTTTCAGTAAGCGTGGTTAGATATTTTAAGGCTTGAGCTGTTGCGTGTGGTCCATATCCCACTAACTGTTCACCTCTAAAGAAGATCAAAGTCCTCCTTCTGGGTGTGGAGGGTTTGTAGTATCTTCATCTGTTCTCTGATATCTGATCTGACTGATCTCGGATCTCTTTCGATCACTGATCATTTTTCTAAGACTTTCTACTTGAGCACATTACACAGTCCAGAAATGTTTAGCAATGTTTTGGAAAGTTACCAACATGCAGAATTAATGGAAACTTGCAGAGCAGATTTATCGTAACTCTAAATTAACTGAAGCAGATGAGTAGTGCATAAAAAACTTGCTCGATCATTAATCAATCATTTTTCTCATTGCAGATTCAGTAAACGTCCAGGCCACTGCTTCCAGATGAGTCCTTTTAAATAATATTTTACAAGATGCCATTCATCAGAGAAGCCCTCAATTACTTCTTCACTGGCTTTGTCAATTCATCTCCCTCTTGCTTGTCCTCCTGTTTTAACCTTTGCATCTATCTTTGTCAGAACCTCCGGCTAATGCCAAAAAGTCAGTCAGGATGACTCCTCTGCCAGTAAAAAAAGGAATCTTTCAGGGAGCCCTCAACAACTGCTGTAGTCTTAAAGTAAACAGAGAATCCTATTAAGCTTTTCCTGTCAAGAACTTGAATGACATCACTCACACTGGATCAACACATTCCAAACGTCCCCCCAGAGAGTGACAGACCTTTATTGCGATTCTTTAGGGAGCAAATATATTATGTGACATATTCCACTAAAGACAATTGTTCTGAATCTAAAGGGCCTGCAAGACAAATATAATAGCTACTATTTAAAAATCTTGCATCGCTAAAACAGCATGCAGGGTCTGTTTTAACATGAGAAGGAATGGATTCCTGACGCTCAGCCAAGTCTTTTTGTTAGTTTTGAAACTTAGAACTTGACACTCGGGCTAATTAATAACCTTAGCTAATGTCAAGACTGTTGGTAGTGGATTTTCTGTCAAGCACTCTCAGAATTTCTGCCCCTTGTGAATGATAACGAGGGCTATCTTGCCCTGAGCAGAATGCAAACATACAAGCCAGAACCATTTAGGTTTTTTTATTCTCAGAATGAAAAAGTGTGGTACTGTTTAACTACTATATCGTACTATTTGTAGGTTAATGATTGCACTTAAGGCCATAAAGCCATGACCGACTGTTATGACTGAACCACAAGAAATGATAATAAGGCCAAACGGCTGCTTATGGTTTAAGTATTTTCAGTCTGTGTTTTTCAAATTCCTCACAACTCAGGTTCTATTTTCAAGCTAATCATCTTTATCCAGCACTTTACACGTTTTCATACCAACAGTTGACTAATTTATTTGAGACATAGAACAGCTCCACGGTATATTTCACTATTCCCCCAGGCACCCTAATCCTGGCATTATCCTCTTGTTATTGTACGAGAAACAGAATGAATGAAGGAAGTTTACACGTTGTATCTGCATTCAGTTCATTTCTTCCTTATTGGTGGTGGGTGTAGGGGGTAAAAAGGCTCCATGTGTGAGAAAGGTTACGAGAGATTTTTCGCCCCACTCTTCTGATGCAGTTTTAGAAGCAGCAGAGAAAAACAGAGCAGGGGTCTTAGCTATGCTGTGCCTGTCAGTGCAGTCCATTTTTCAAGCCTGTACGTCCCCTGCAACGTGACAGGAGGAATAGCACCGGACTGTCACGAAGGGGGCAAACACTCCTGGGTTGATACAGCCGGACAGCCAGGAGAGGCCATAATTACACCTGGACAGCTTGAGCTGAACAAAAGTACATCACCGTTGCTCTTCTCCCTCTGCTCAGTCTGTCATAACCCCTGTGCGTAATGAGACAATTTAGACGTTTCCTGCCATCACAAGCTGCCAGCCGTTGCTCAGCTTTTTGTAGGGAACATGTCTCAGTCTGGGCTGAAAAATGTGTAATGAAAGCTGCTAAAAATAAAGTCTTCAGGAGGCATGAAACGATGATTATGAATTAACTCTTAATACCCAGATGAAAAACTTGGTCAGACAGATGCGATGAATGTCGAGGGGATGCCTATTTTAAGCACGCAGAATCACGGCCATTGACTATTTTGCAACTCTTGGCTCTCTCTCAAAGCACACAGTCCTTTAGTGAACTCTGGGGGATGCTGCATCCGTTCACACTTGGTTACGAATACAAAGCGACAAGGGCAATAACATTGGATCTAATACAAAAGATTGTGCATGCAGATATGATCATTCCTTAACCCACCATTCCTGCACTAAATCCACTGAGGAATAAAGAGCTTCTACTGTTTTATTACATTGTAAGTGATTTTAGTGGTAATAGACTGCTTCCCTGTTAGCGAGATATTTTCCAGATTCTTTTACTAGAAGAAAAGCAAGCCAGGAAGAAATGTGCTACCACATACTTCTCATGATACTACTATTCTTATCTTAAGATGTCATATCTCTTCTTAAGACACCCTGAAGTGCAGTTTTGGGTTTTTCCCACCAAAAGCTGCCGCTCAGTCCTGCTGCTTCATTATTCCGTCATTATAGTTTCATCAAGTGAGAATTTTTGGAATACGTCAGTATAGCTGCAATGGCCGACTTCTTTCTACCTCCAGCATGGAAGGTTGCCGTGAAGCCATGACTGTGCTTCATGTGTCTGTCCTCCAGAGTCATGATGAATAGCCAGAAGTGCTTCTATTTCATTCTCTGCTCCCTGCTTCAGCGCACTCCTTGGGTGCTATCCATTATGTTGGCTTTTTCACACGGCTCTCTCAGTGCTGTTGGACGTACAGAAGCTGATAGCCTATTCCTCTAAATCCCCGCTCTGTCTCTCATGTGGAAGGCGTTTGCACATCTCCCCAAGCTTGTCTGGCAGAGGGCACAGAAGAGTTATGAGGAGGCTGCTGAGTTTGATGTGTGATTCACTGAATCCCTATGACTGGCCTAAATGTGCAACACGCTGTCTGAATAAACACCTCGCACCACAGAAAAAGTCACAAATCCGCAAAAAAGACAGACACATGATCGTTATTAGAGACACATTAGAGACACGGTCTGTTTTGGAGGATGGAAGGACCAGATGGATTTAATCTGTTAGCCACTACTCCAGGAAATGAGAGATTAGATCTACTTATGTGCAAAGCAGAACCAGGTGAGGACAGCACAGCGTTTCCGTATAGGGAGATGTATTACATGCCTTTTCACTCCTCAGGCTCGACCTCTGATACTTATCCCCCCACTACCCCACTGCTGCCCAACCTCAATCATCTGAAGGTAATAGAGAATCAATATGCTATATAATTGGATTGTCTCTGTTTGAACATTGAAATTGACTCGCTTAGTTTCCTTATGAAACTAGTTACAGGATTATTGATTTATTGTCTGTCTTTGCTATACATTCTGCAGGCATTACCTGTTTTGCTTTCTTTCTTTCTTTCTTTTGTTATTTTCTGGCAGTGCCTCATTAGGATACATAAGCATGCTGCCCAAACATGTCCGATTCAAATAGAATTTTGGAGTGTCCAAAAAGTGCTCCACCAAATTTGTCACCCATCTCTAGGTGACTTTTAGTAATCTAGAGGAAAAATAATAATAATAATATTGTAATTATATGAATGTAAAAATTGTATAAAGTTGTATAAAAAAGTGTATACACAGAACTGTGCAAAAGTCTTAGGCACCTTAGCACATTGTTTAAAAGCACTGATCTTGGCAATAAGTGTGTATGTATAGTTAGATCATTTGAATAGATGCAAATACACATAAATACAGTAAAAAACATGAATTTATTTTCAAAAAAGTAGTTGTTATCTTGTGAGCAAGTTAGAAGATCAGTTTTACTCCAGATGTCTCTTGGATGTCACTCCTCCCTTACGTTTGAAAATGGCTAACTGATCACAGTAACAAACAAACACTAAAACACACTATTTGTATTTATTCTAATATTGTTTCTCAGACCAAGTGAGCATTTTTATAGCTTTTTCATTTAAATTTTCTGTATACTTGTATATGCCTGTATGTACCTGTATTTATCTGCTGGAGCTCCAACTGTTAACAGCATGTGTGCTAAAGACTTTACAAACTTTTTATGGTAATGAAAATGAGAAATGGTGATGACAGTGTTTGTTCCCTTCTATCTCCAGCACAGATGCATGCAAACAGTTTGAGCTCCAGCAGATAAACAGTAAAAATGTCATCTGTGTGGAACTGTTTCATGGTTTCAATGAGGGACATTCATTGTTCACTCAGATTCATTTACAACCCCCAAATAATTTTTCATTGCAAGTTCGATTCCACTTGAGTGCATGA